TTCTAAGTATTTAATTCCTTTACAACTCCATTCTGGGAAATTAATCATATTATTGTTTTGTAATATGTCAGGGTTATTCCAGATAGGTGTACGTTTACATGGGATTAATGAAGACTCCGTTATTTTTAGAAACTCCCACCATGCTGTCAGAGAGAAGCTGATGTTGATACTTTTAAAGCATTCATGTCTTTTGATGTTTGAGCTAATAAATGGTAGGTCTGAAATCTCTAGATCCATCAATCATGATTACTAACATGAAGTTAATAGGTCTTGTCCTTGTCAAATTAAGGGACCTTGTAGACTCCTCAGCAGCACTTATGAAAAGACAATCATCATTAACTATCTTTCCACCCTAGCAAAAGAACAGTTCAAAGAAATCACTAAAAGCCTAAAAATTATAATGACATTGTTGCCCATTATGAGCATATGTAAACTTCTGACCACCTGTATGATGACAGCCGGGCAAAAGGTGAACACTCTTAGCACTCTAAACAAATATCAAAAGAGCTCAAAAAAGATTCAAAAACAAAAAAGATCCAAACGAGTAGTGCAAGTTGAGAATAAAATTCAAATTTAGAAGTGTGATTTTTTGTTAACCTGCATTAACTCTGCACCCTGGCACTGATTTTTTTTTTCTCTTGAGCCATGTTCCCCCTTTCCATCATGCCATGAGGCTTAAACCAAATTAAGCACATGCATTAAAACAGCACTTGTTAGATAGACAGAAAAATGCAGAATGCTACTAAAACAGCAGGCCCAGCATGCACTTGGTAATTACTTGTTTTTGTGTGCCCTTTCCCTCTCGCAGTACATGCTGGGTCTTTGGTGCTCAGCGTTTTTCTCTCTTAGCCTCTGGTGCCACAACTGGGAATCACAGAATTTATACACTTCTCAGGTGGCCCCACACAAGAAAGGAGTGCAAGGTAGAGATGCATCAGCAATGGCAGTTATAGCTGCAGACTTCAGGATTAGAAATGAAATGTAAGTACTATAAAAAGACATAAATGCATATTGGAAACCCATGAATTGGCATACACCTATACAACACTACTCATCCAGATAATTGGACATAAGCTCAAGAATGTAATTGCAAGGATTGCTCTCCTTGAAAAAGAGTTCTGTTAGCCAACATCAAGAAAGCTGAAGGTTTAGACTAAGATATCCCAACAAATAATAATGATCATATAAGAAATACTTTAGTTCTTTTGTTATGTTCATCCTTCAAATCTCAATCACTGACATCTGAGTTGTGTAAAATGTCAAACAGAGCTGGGGGTGTGTGCGTGTCAGGCAACGTGAAACATAAATCACTTGATGAGGTAAAGATTTTTGCTTCCAGGAGAGGATTTCCGATGAGTCCCCCAGAGATACAGTAAGAGACAAAGGCGACTGGGAAACCTGTGATGTAAACAGCATCATGAAAGTCGCACCTGGCCAACTATGTGTGTGGGTGAACATTCTTTATACACCCTCTCTATGTGGCCAGCCTTCTTCTAAATGAAAAGGTCTTTGAATTGCTCAAATTATTCTCTGCTCTGTGTAATGTGTGTAATTGCTAGATGACATTAGCACACAGAGGGAAAAAATGGATTGTGTAAACCATTGTTGTGTGTGAGCACAATTTCCTGTTTTGGGCGCATAGACAAAGATGTGTGCTTTTTGCACTCCCTTTTATCACAATACATAATTGGTGACTCACAAGGTAAATTTGTCCTGTTCATCAAGTTCAAGTTGAAAAGGAGACTTAACAAGGAATCACTGCTTATTTGCGTTTTTACTTTCTTGCTAGTGTTTTTACTCTTCTTTTGAAATGCACCAAAGGGATTTTTTTTTCTTTTTAACAAACTGCCTTTTGCCCATAAAAAGTGTAGCCATGTGTTTAATCTTTTCTTTGTATTTACTATGTCCTTTAAGTGATTTATCCAGCCCCACTGGTATTATATACTTAGATTTTTCAGTAATATTAGTGAAGGGCTAGAAGTATTTGACATTCTCTCAAGTTTTTGACAAGACAGTGTTCTACTATGTGCCACTTTGTTTCGCTTATTCATAAAGGAGTACAACAGTTTTACAGCAAAGGGTAAAGCAATTCATGGCTTTCTAAGTGACTTTGAATTTTACAAATGTTTTTATAAGTACCATCTGCTTTATCAGTATATCTGTGATTAGAAATCTGACATATGACTGAGCATATGACTTATCGACCCTCATTCTGGGTCCAAACTCCTCCTTTAAGGCTGTCTGTTTTTTATATGTATAAACAAGCCAGTAAAAATATTCAATGGTGACTGTCAATCTTTCTGACTATTTGTTAGCATCATTCATGTGCATTGCATTTATAAGCTCAATTTTTAAAACCATATTATGTAACTACAGCCCATGGGCTCACAATATGCCAGACACCAAACATTAAAATGATTCAGAAAAGAATCACTCTGAGGTTAACTAAGAATTGAATGGGTAGCTAAGGCACCAAATTTTTTCATAGGGAGTAATCCAAACCACGCAGTAACATAATGACTAACTTTGTGTTGTGGATGAATCATCGAACGTGCTCTCTTGACTGAAGTTTGGCTGTTTTCAGCCTCTTTTCCCTGCCCTGATAGGATTGCGTTTGTCTTTCGCCATTCGGGAGCCTCAAATAAACTTTTATTGAGGATAAAAAAAGTTAGCATTCATCTTCTATTTTCATTCTGTTAATAATATTATTCTGTTATAATATTATCCAAACCATAACTGTGTAGCTAACTACTAGGTAGCACACCATTGTGTACCAGCTACCCAACATTAGTAACCCTGCAAACATTTCTGCTGTTTAATTTTCTGACCACACTGATGTTGAAAGTGATAGCGGAGCTGCACATTTTACTTTTTTAGAAATTCCTCAGTCAAAACATGGTATTTCGTCTTTAGATGACACGTAGCGGGCTAACTTCCTGCTGACTTCAACTTTTGCTAGACTTTGTAAATCCTCTTTCTCATGCATGTCTGAATGTTAACGTTTATTGCAAAACAGCCACGTTAATCATTTTACTGAACATGAAGGAATTTTGACTATTTTTAACTCTCAATGATCTAAGAGTTGTTTGAGTTTGGGAACTGAAGAAAGGTTCGGACCTGGGGCAAAGCATAGGGAACTTTTTTTTATTAGCCATCCAAACACATGTACCCCTATAAACCCTGTAAAAGTCAGTTTTAACTTGTATTTCTGTAGGTCGGCTTGTGTTACACGCTCTTTTATGGCTGCCACCATGTTGTTTTTTTGGAGCCAGGAGTTACAATATTTGGACAAGACTGCTAAGTTAACAGCTGAGGCTAGCTAGCTTTTTTAGCCTAAAGTCTTAAAATGCCACAGTTTCACTCACCGAAACTGAATCTCACATGTCCCTAATAAATCACACAGCAAGGCATATTATGTTATCTGTCAAATGACTCCATGAAAAACTATCTAAAAAGGCAAAAACACCATTAAAAAATCTAGTTCTGGCAGCCAGCTATCAGATAGAGCTTTGTGCATCACTACACCTGTACACCTCAAAGCAGCCACACTCCCAGCATGATTATGCACTACTTCTACAACAATTTTAAACTTCCTTTGTACACCTTAATTCTTAATATGTAGTGTACGAGATTCACTTTGCTCTGAAGTGAAAAAGCAGTTTCAGTTGGAATTAATCTTCTTTAACTGATGCCAACACAGCAAGAAAGCAAGCAGTTTAACTTCACTCTCTTGGAGGGGGTTAGTGCATCAGTATGCTTCACACAAAGTACTTATCAAACTGCATAACGTTGCCTGAAACCTCCAGTGCAAAATGTTTTTAACTGGCTTGTAGATTTACTTTCTCAAAAGAATAGTGGTGTAAATTACTCAAGCTGCTAAATCTTTTTACACTTTACCACTGTAACACCGTTTACCCATGTGTGAGTGCACATCCAAAGCTGGAGAAAACGAGACGGGAGGAAACTCAGAGCATGTGCACGTAGGCAGTGCTGTTTAACTGCTTTGTGTGTGTGTGTGCGTCCATGTGCATATGCGTGCATGTGTGTGATTTTATATAACACTTAGTTGCCTATTCAGCAGCAAGAATTATTGGTTCTCAGCCAGACTGCCTTCTTCACACTCTCAGTTCCTTGCAGATCTTATCTTTCTCTTCACGTTGCAGTAAGACAAATAATTTTCACTTTCACTCGCATCTATGTGCCCTAAGCTTGTCATGTGCCGTTTTCCATATGCTTTTGGCTTACAAACAAGTGAAGGTGCAATCCCACTTCTTCCACACATTGTCTTTATGTTTTATCCAAAATTGCACATACGCATAGATAACTGGGCTTCCGTTGACTACCAAATCATGTTATCATCATTGTTCCAGTTTTCCTGAGTGTACACTAGGTTTTGGGTTACGTAATCTTTATTTATTTATTTTAGTTCGTTCGGATGCACAGCTTCTAGTGATTCAGAGGACGGACATTAAAGTGATTGTCTTTTATGCTGATCATGTAAATCAGCATCAAAATGCTTTATTAATCACAGAGGCTTAGGCAAGTATTAAACGCTATATTAAAATGGTTGAATTTCATATGCAGTTTCCTGGCCAGAAAAAGTGAGAGAAAACTGTAAGAAAATTACAAAAAAAAAATTAAATGATTGAATGATAATTCTGTTGCTATCGCCCTAATGTCCTAAAATATCTCACAATCAAACCAATTTCAACAGTTCTTAGAGTGTTAATTTCAAACAAATAGTTTTAGTTTCCTCTTGAGAATTTTGGGTAGTCAACCTTAGGCATCAGTAGCCACGCACAGCTGTATTCCTGTGCTACATTTACGTTCCCATCTTTTCAAATGCAACCTCACTGACATCACCGAACAGCACCTCTCCTCTCCACAGATGTGCTCTGGGCTGTCCTTGGAGATTTCCCCATGAAAACAAAGCTCTCCTCCCCTACGACTCTCTCTCTGTTTCCAGCCCCACTCTCTGCCTCCATCCATCTCAGCTGCTCTCTCCCCCCCACCTCATAATTTCACACCAATGAGCATGCCGCATGTAGCTCCCACTCACTGGCATCAGAAACACTAGATATCTTCAGTGCTGAGCAGTACAGTTTCAAACAAATACACAACAGCATTGGCTAGACGGAGGCTGCGTTCAGCCAAAAGGCACGTTGGGGATAGGCAGTGATAAAAAAGAGGGGGAGAAAGAGTCCAGCTGCTCTCTCACACCGGACTCAAGGTAAAGGATCCATATTAATTTATTGGGTGACAGAGTGTTATGTAATTCTGTTGTAGACACCGAGCTCCAGGCATTATGTAGGTCTTTGTTATTCTTGATGGTTCACAGCACGGATTATTATGTGTAGCTTTGAATGGAGGCTTACTAGTAAATCAGGGAGAACACTGTTGTCTAAGTGATATGACGTCTTTGGGGCTAATATTGGAAACACTAATGAAACTATTATGGGAGAGTAATTGAAGTTATGAACATCAGTGTCATGCAGCTAATTTTAAGGAGTGTTTGTGTACACTGCCAGTCTAAATGTCTTCCTAAGTGTTTTCTTATTTTCACATGCTTTCAATTCCGTTTCCTGTAAGCACTCCTGAAAATCAGTTCACACCCTCCCACTTTCCCTCCCTTGATTCTGGTAGCTCTGAGGGCTTTTCAGTCCAGTAAATGTCACTTAGCACTGCTATCAATAACGGAGAAGGGTTTTGAAGTCTACACAAGTGGCATCTGAGGGTGAGGCTGCATCCTGAACCTTCCTAAACTCCTTTTAATCCTTATTACCTTTTTTCAGCCATTGATTTTATTAACAAAGGGTCAATTCCCCCTAAAATATGGAATGACTTCTTTTTTTTAAATTTCTATCATTTTCCTCTGTGAACCTTTAGCCATTTTTACTTGTACTTGACGAGGAAACCCTATTTTCTGAGAGTCATACTGATAATCTTTTTTAATAGTAGGATCTCTACATTGGAAGGGAGGCTTCACATCCTGTCAGTGGTGGTTCTAGACTCTGGATGGGCAAAGTAAAAAAAAAAAAAGAACATTAACCCCCAGTAGAAATGCTTTTAGTCATTTCAATCAAAAAATGTGCAAAATGTCACTGAAAAATGTGCAAACACATGCAGTTTGTTGGGAATGGGGCAAACAATTTAACGTTATTTTAACGAGATTAACGCTGACAGCACTAGTAAAGTTTAGATTAGTCAGTTTTAACGATGCTACCGTGAGTGTTTTTTGGGCAGTAGTAATAGTAGTAAAGGTACACTGTGTAAAATCTCACCAAAAGATGTCAGTGTATTGCAAATTGCAGTCAACTGAATTCTGTTAGCTTATTGCTCCTAACTAAAGTGCATTATCCTTGTGGCCGGTATAGGACAATCAACTCTGCCTCCAGTTTTTCTGTAGTGGGTGTAGGCCACTATGTTTGCAATGTATCAGTATGTTTGCAGTGTCAATATGTTGGGTGGGGAAGGAGATTCTATTACCCTTAGTTAGTGAAACTTTGTTGTTAATGTTCTTGAAGGAACACTTAACTAATAAGTTACATACTATGTGAAAATGTAATGAAACTGTTTATCAGAGGGAAAAACTAATTTTTAGCACACTGGCTAAAATTAGCTAACACGTTAGCTTATAACCAGTTGCTGTTGTTGTTCTGTTTTGTTTTGTGTTTTTTGTCCTTGTCAGCTGTTCAGTGACAGGTGGGTCACATGTCTAATCTGCTGACAATACCTAATTTTGACAGTAATAATAAATGAGTACGTTTATGCATGTTTTTATGTGTTAGAGTCCTGAATTCAGTTCAGGATATGAAGTTTCAGATGAGAAGGAAGAGGATAATGCTTTATGTAGATCCTCTGGCTTCACGTTTTTGCTTCTTTGTTTCATCATTTGAGAAGAGGTTCCAATTCATCATAGGTATGAGCCTTCATATCCTGAGTCAGAAAGTGCAGGCATGAATTAAAATTTGCCTTCATGCCACACAAATGCCTATAAGAACTACTTACAGTATGTGTCCAGTCTGTTGTTATTTGGATACAATGTGATTAGACAGAGTTCCAGTGCCCATCACTGTATTGCAGTCACTGTATTCAAGATGGGCGGGGCAACATGTTGACTTTCACAAATGCCTGCTCTTAGGTATTTTTAATGGATTATTTTCAAGTGTATGAGGATGAAGAAGTTTTTTGGGAAGATGTTATTACACACTAATCAATGTATTCGTATTTGTACAACACTGTTGTGTCGATAGAGCATATGCCAGAATTGTGTCCCTGTGCACCAGTGATTTAAGGTCAGCATTATGCAATGTACCCAGTTCAATTCCAGTGAGGGAATTCTGTCACGTTTCATTCTCTTTGCTCTCTGTCCTCATGTTCTGTGCCTGTCCCAGCTGCCAGTTGTCACAAAAAAAGAAGAAAAAAAAGGCCTAATCCGTTGGCATTACATTTCCCATAAAAGATTATTTGACTTAACACATTAGTTTTATGTTATTGTATGATTGTCTGACATTGCCTCTACAAATAAAGTACAATCACCATAATGCATTTTGCAGAACATGTTAACAGTTCTGTTGTACTGTAATCTTTTTTTATAAGATTGAAGAAAATCACATATTTTTTAAAATTAGCATTGTCACCACAAGTGCACCACTGTAGCTCAGCAATGGAAGTCAGCGTATTCTTGTTACATTTGTATGAAACACAGTTTTAAATCCTGCTGAAATGAAATGCTTTTAGTAGACACAATATGAGGCCTAGGAGTGAATCAGATTTTCTACAATTCAAAATAAGTCTCTGTAACAAACTGATTACAAAAATGACTGACGGCGGGCTGAGAAAAAGAGACACGCTTACAGCCTGTAGTAGTGAGCAGTTAACCGAACAAAGCGTTTTGACACTTAGGCCAATGAACCCAGGTAAAGCAAGACAAAACACAAAACACTAGACTAGCCTACTGTGAGAAAAAAGACACAGTGGTGAAAAAAACAGAAGAAAAAAAAACTCTAGTCTAGTCACATCTCATCATTTTCAGATTTAGCCCACAGGAGATGACAAGCTCTAATTTTATCACTAAGCAAAATGTTCTCCACTAGCTAATGCAAGTCATTGCCGTGCCCTTATCATCCTAAACATGCGTGTGCTTTTAATAGTTCTGTGCAGCCAGTGACAAGCAGATTTACTTGAGTGTAATCTGACATAGCTCTGAGATAAATACTTGGCCAACGACTGGGCAGCCTTGTTTGCCCTCCCTTTACACCCGAGGTGAGTGACAGTGGTAAGGGCTCCCAGTGGTCACTTGAGAACTGTGGGAGGTGAAAGCAAAGATGTGTAACAGATTATTAAAGCACAGAATGTAAGGATTTCAAGAGGCATACCAGGTTATCACAGTCGGTGTGAATACCTAAAATTTCAAGATCAGCAATGCTTTGACAGAAAACTAATCATCAGCTGTTGCTGGGGTCGACTTTGGTATAAAAAAGCATGAAAGTGTCTGTGTGTCTGTATGTGTGTAATATTGTATATGTAATGCAAAATATTTAATAGCTGTACTTATAAAGCAAAACATTGCCAAAGAAAAGTATCACTAAACTCTGCAGTTGGTTTATTAATGTATCTGATTAAGTTTATTGTTAATCATAAGGTTGATTTACCATGAGCTTAATCAACTTAATGAACCCATAATAAGCACCTAGGTGGACAAAACCATTAGTGCCACGTTAACTATTAGCATTATCCCTGATAGCCAATGTACACCGGTCAAAATGCTTTTGCTACAGCAGCATCAAAATCGGAATGAATTATCCCTCAGAGCAGCAAACTGCTTCAATGAACTGCACTGTTCTAATTCTGGGCTAAGGAAATTATAATGCTCCTCAATATTTTAGTTTGTACTTGTAGAGGTCTTTAGAAGTTGATCATATTGATGCACAAAAGTGGTGACGAGTGTACGTGAGTAATTTTGAAATTAGGAGACACCAAAGAGGGTTCCTGTGATGAGTCCCCCAAAATATCAATCTATCATACTATATATCTAATATGTTTGAGCAAGGACGGTAGGACACCCACACCAATAATTGTCTTTTTAATTATTTCAGTGTTTTCATATTACATTACATTCACTTCTTTCTTTGTAACTTTCAAGAATCTTCATCTTTCTTCTTGGAACTTTATTTTTTAAGGGGAATAGAAAAATAAGAATTTGACTGTTCAATGTAAATCACTGTCTTTATTTCCAACGTGCATAATACAATGAATCATCTAAATTTCTAATATTGGTCCAAAAGAACATCTCTGTTTCTCCTCAGTCCAAACTAATTCTTTCTACAAGTCTGTCTTGCAGCTCCTGCAGCCATCTTTGAACCACATTCAGACATCTTTTTTTGAAGCTTTTATCTAACTCAGTGATGACAGTCCATAACATTAATTTCAGCTGCCAACATAAAACATTAAAAGTGCATGTAGAGTCCTATAAAATTAAAAAAATAAACAAAGAAATAAAGAATGGCATGCCATTGAAGTGCTTATAACTGAAATCAGCAACCCCACTCTTCTAATGTCTTTGTTGTATAGGTTAAGTAAGAATTGGACTCCAAAAGACATAAGGCTATACAATGATAGTAAAACCTTTTTAGTCAGCCCTTTCCTCACCTGATAATGTAATGAAGACATAGCAGTGAGCAGTACCCACAGGTGTCAAGGTTGGAGATTCAGAAGACAGAGAGATCTTTTCTGGAGAACTGCTTCTCCAGTTAACTGTAAAAGAGCTTATGAGAATCCAGGTTGGTGGTGTTCTGGTCCATCACTCAGCCACATTTGGAAAAATATCAAGGCTTTGTGCATTCTCGCCACAAAATTAGGAACTATCAAGTAAAGTTCTAAACAAGCTTGTTCCATTTTGCAAACAAGTTCTGTAAAGGAAGGTATTTAAATATAGTATATTTCAGCAGGAAAAAGCAAAAGTATGTTTGCAAAAGGGGTGCCAAAACTCTCTAAGCCTCTAATTTGCAATACACCACACATCAGATTTGAAAATCTGAAAATAGACCTTTAAAGGTCAGTGCATGCAAGATGGCCCAAAAATTCTCACATAACTAGCACTTTTCAGGAAAAGTGGGTTAACATTCCCCCAGACAAGAAGAACTCTTGGCTGTTACAAAAACTGTTTACAAGCTGTGATACTTGCTGGGGGTGAGGGGGACGGTTACTAAGTACAGACCATGCAGTGTG